TCCCACACAAACAAATGCATTTCAAACATTTATGAACTTCACCCTCAGGGTTGAGCAGGAAAACTCACTAACTCTTAGCTATGGGCTGTACACAACGATTTTCTTTCAAAGAAAGAGGAAGGAGTCGCTTTACAGGATAAATGTAGATCATCTAGGTCCTAGGTTCAAGCCCCAGGAAAACCCGCACACACACACACACACACACACACACACACACACACACACACACGGGCGGGCACAGATGACAAGCAGATACTCAAAAGCATCTAGTTGTTAAGTGGAAGATAAGATGACTCAAAAACAGATTCTTTTCTGTCTTGTACTGGTGACTGAACTCAGGACTTGAAGCGTGTTAGACAGGTGCTCACCACTGAGTTCCACCCTAATATTTCTCTATCTGCATCACAAGGCCTGCCTAAAATTGCTCATTTAGCACTTGAGGCTAACTAGTGCTGAGAGTACCGTGAAATGGGTTATGGGAGGCACTTACATGTGACTGACAGAGGCAAAGTCTGCGAAGCAAAACTGCTGTTAACTCCAGCAGATCAAATGCAAGCAGTGTTGCTGGAGAAACATGTGGCTTAGCCATTGAGAATTATGTTGAGAATGATCAGTCCCTCCATGTTACTTTTATGAGATCGTTCATGATTTCCTCAAACAGGTGACTCAACTGAGGGCTAAACTATTTCTAAGTAACAGCAGTGCCTCATGACACAAAATAATGCCATGACACAATGTAGGGCCTGATCCCAGAGTACAGCAACCCTGAACAAGATTTTCTGTAGCAAAAAGACAGATGTCAAAAAGACAGAATCTAACTTCAAGGGGTGTCCACTGGTCACTTCAGCATTAAATTTAAACAAACAAACAAAACTTCTCAGCAACAAGAGCAAACAACCTGCCATAGACTGAATGTATGTCCCCAAATTTACACGACGAAATCTAATCCTAATGTTACAAGATTAGGCAAGGCTTTAGGGGGTTAATTAGTCCAACAAGGTAGCAGCCTTATCAAGAAATTAGTGCTCCAGAAGGGGCTTGCTCTGTGACTGTGAGGGTTCAGCAAGAATCTTTGCAAACTGTAAGGCCCTAGCCTCCAGAAGTGTCCGAGTTCAGTGTTTATGGAGCCCGGTCTATAACATTCTTCACTGCACCCACCCTGTAAGGAACTACAAAGAACCAAGTAAAGCCGGGAGTGGAAATATGCTGTCCCCAAGAAGAGCACAGCAATTGTTTATCCAGTGCCAAATGGCCAGCCCTGAAAACATGCATACAAGTAACAGCATACGGACAAAGCAGGCTACATTCAGGAATATAAAACAATTAACAACAACAAAAATAACAATAAAAGCCACATAGTTGAAGGCGTGAGGAGTATATGAGATGTTAGAAAAAGAAATGTTCTAATTATATTCTAAAAAAATTAGGCAAAAGATTTGAACAGTTGCTCTGTCCAGAAAGACACACAAATAACCATCACATGAAGAGACAACACCCATAAACGCAAAGAGGGCTGGAGATGCAGCTCAATGCTGGACTACTTGCCAGCTCTGGACCAGTCCTCAGACCCACATATATATTCAAAAAAAGTCACGGAAGATCCCACCACCTTCCAGACTGATCTTAAAAACAGTGAGCAGCACCCAGGAAGGCAGAGGCAGGCAGGTCTGTGAGTTTGAGGCCAGCCTGAGCTATAAAGAGAGTCCAGGAGAGCCAAGGCTACATAGAAAAACCCTGTCTCAAAATAACTAAAAAACATAATAATACAGAAATTTGAAGCTCTCACCCACTGCTGGTCTGAAAACTCAGTTGCATAGCCACTTAGGTAAACCTTAGCAGATTTTTATAAGATTAAACATATGTTCACTAGAGGTAGGGTACAATAATCCCGTTCTAAGTTGCTGTTATTTTTGTTTTGTTTTTCCTAGTGCTGGGAATCAAAGCTAGGGCAAGTACACTACCACTGAACTATACCCACAGATTCCCCTCTTCTCTCAACTTCTAGTTCTTTACTAAGGTAGAAAGCAAAAGCAAACCAAGAAAAAAAAAAAAAAAAACTGTACAGAATGTTCATAGCAGTTTAACTTAAAAGACCAAAAGTTAAAAACAAATGTGCCTTGACAGGAAAATGGATAAATGTGGTCACCTATACAATGTAAGTATCAGAAATGAAAGAAAGCGCTGGACGTACATAAACTGTGGTGAGCTTCAAGTAACTAGGCTAAGTGAAAGAAACCAAAGTGAACAAAACAAACAAACCCACATACTACGTGATGTTATTCATTTACTTTAAGAGTAGCAAACTAAGTTCAGAGGCCAGACTAGAGAGTACCAAAGGAATAGAAGGAAGTTTAAAAACATAGACTGAGAGATATTGAGTGTTTTATAGCTAAACTGCACTGTGATTGTGACTTCATAATCTGCTCAGGTAAAACTGCAGACCCATATACCAAAGAGCAAATTTGACTATATGTTGAAAATTAATTTTTAAAAGAGCAAGTAATAAAAATAATTGTCTTTAAAGATGCCAATTAAAGAAAACATCCTCTTGGGCTAGGGAGATGGCTCAGCAGTTAAGAGCACTGACTGCTCTTCCAGAGAACCCAGGTTCAATTCCCAGCACCCACATGGCAACTCACAACTGTTTGTAATTCCAGTTCCAGAGGATCTGGCACCCTCACATAGGTATGCACGCAGACAAAACATCATATATATATATATATATGAATATATATATAAAATATATATATATTCATATATATATATATGAATAAATAAGACATACTGTTTTCTTTAAAATTTATTCATTTTATATCCTGATTGGAGGCCCCTCCCTCATCCCCTCCCAGCCCCACCCTCCTTCCCTTATGCCCCCATACTGTTCCCCTAGCCACTGAAAGGGGAAGTTCTCCTCCCCTGCCAGATGACCCTAGCTTATCAAGTCTCATCAGGAATGCCTGGATCCTCTTCCTCTGTGGCCTGGCAAGACTGCATCACCAGGGGTAAGTGATCAAAAAGAAGGCAACCAGGTCATGTCAGAGACAGGCCCTGCTCCCCTTACTTGGAAACCCACACGGAGACTGGGCTGCCTATAGGTTACATCTGAGCAGGGATTCTAGGTCCTCTCCATGCACAGTCGTAGGTTGTTGTCATCAGTCTCTGCAGGGCACGCTAGGCGCAGATTTTTTAGCTTTGTTGGTCTCCTTGTGGCGCTCCTGTCCCCACTGGGTCCTTCTATTCCCCTTCTTGCCTTCTTCTATAAGACTCTCTGTGCTCTGGCTGTGAGCCTCAGCATTTGCTTCAATCCCCTGCTGGGTGGAGCCTTTCAGAGGACCGCTATGTTAGGATCCTATCCTGTTCCTTCTCTTCTACCACTCTGGTATCTATCCTTATGCCTTCTGAATGAGAATTAAGCATCCTCCCTAGAGTCCTCCTTGTTGTTTAGCTTCTTTAGGTCTGTACATTTTAGTATGGTTATTCTATATTATATGGCTAATATCCACTTAAAAGTGAGTATATGCCATGTGTGTCTTCCTGGTTCTGGTTACCTCACTCAAGATCTTTTCTAGTTCCAAAAACATACTCTTAAATAACTGGTCTGGATCAAAGATATATGAGATGCTAATTTAACACAGAATCTTACATTTAAGTTTTCTGCAAGACTTTACTGAGACAAATGACAAGATCTCAATATTCTACTGGTTGGGTAAAAGTTTGGAATCAGTGTTAATTGCTGAAGGGTGTATTTATTATTATTATTTTTTTAGGATGAAAATACCAACCTCTGACAGCTGTCCAACCTCAGACACTGAAACATGATGTTGTTAACCACATAGCTATCCCTGGATACACATAAAACTTGAGTACCAGCTGGGCATGCTCAATGCTAGAAAACATCACCTTCTTTTGTTTTTGTTGGTTTTTGGTGAGATGGTGGTGGAAAGCAGAAGCCTGGGGCATTCAGCACAGGGCTCGAACATGCTAAGCAAGAGTTATCTCATATCCCAGCCACTCTCTTGAAACGGCTGAATTAAAAACTAGTAAAAAGGAAAGAGAAAACCAACAACATAAATGTTTCATTTGCCAAATCTGGGTAAAGGATAACTAGAAAAATCTCTGTACTCTTCTTCCACCTTTCTATAAGACTGAAATTATAAAAAAAAAAAAAAATAAAAAAAATAAATCTTTAAAAAATGTCCCTTGGGCTTTAACAGGCTCAGAAAGCTAGGGAAAAAAAAAAAAAAAAAAAAAAAAACATACCAAGTAAACTAAGAATAGAAATCAACATGCACACATCTACTAAAATTAAAAATCTACAGAAATCTCCAACACTGACTCACACCAACCAAGACAGCACGCCCTGGAGTTCCTACACTCTGCATTCCACTATGGCAAGGTATTAGTTTGATGCTGCTAAGCATCTCAATTGAAAAAGCAATTCTCCTTCAACTTCTTCCTTGCTCACTAGACTTCTGACTACAAAATAGTAGCTTTCGAGTGTGTATCCATTATATACGACGATAATCAAAGCAACTTACAAAGCTGATTGGAAATCAACTTCTGTGCAGCTGACTAGGATTAGCTTCCCAACCCACTATTAGCCCAGGAATAGCATTCAGAGTACCACAGCACTCACTGAAATGGTAGACTTAACAAAGCTGCTTAACTCTGCAGGCTCTTGAATACCTTTTTTTCAAGACTAAGGTAGAGGGAAACTAAATTCTTCAGTGGGAAAAACACAAGTATTTAAATGTACAACTCCTCTTTAGAAAACTGCATGAGATGCTATCCTAAAATCTTGATAAACGAACCAGTGGTAAACCAAACGAGAACTTGCTATGATCATGCTCTCTCTGAAAAACAGCCATCCCCATCAGTCAATCACCAGGACAGAATATGCCTTTTAGATGAAAATACAGAAATGTAGGACTATAACACGTTTAGACCTTTGTTATTAACTTCAAAAGTGAGGGAGTCGAGTTCTAAAAGACACGGAGCACTTGGTTCCATCTGTATTTAGTGGTAGACACAGACTAAATGAAACGCATTCAGTATGGTAAGTTATATACAGGAACAGGGTCATAAAGCTTCATTTTCAAATTGATTAAACTCAACCCAACACTCTTCTTTCAGAATGCGGAATGCATTATTCTAGGTTTTATAAGATTTTCCTGTTCCATCATGACAATCACATTCTTGATGATAGTGATATGTTATGCTCAACAACAGAAACCCACAAGAAAGTCTTCCTTCCCCACTTGAAACCCAAAATTTATGAACTATATCCTTGATACAAAGGGCAGACATTTTTATAACATAAACAAGCTATCAACCTAAGCTGCTGCCCAAGGCATAATAAAAACAAATTGTTAATTAACTTATATTCCCTACACACACACATATACACATTTTAAATATTTTTCATTCTACTAAAATTAAAATTAAAATAAGCCCCATTAAAAGTTTTTTTGCAGAGCTGATTTGTAGCTCAGTGATAGAACCCCAACTCTGGAAGCACAAGGCCTTGGGTTTAATCTCAGGATAGGAAAAAAAAATGAGTTAAGAACACCAATTCTATGTAGAAATAAAAAGATTAGCTTCCCAACTGTCTGGTGACAAACTGAACCATCATTTCCCTACCCAACGGATATAAAAGTGATTTAAAGCAGACCAAGATACATGAGTTTACATCAAATGATTCATGTGTATTTTTACATGTTCAAAGACAATTAATATAAAACAAATGTAAGAGGTTGGTTTAAACTCCAATATTTGGTTAATATCCACAGAATCCTAACTTTTAGTCATCTGAATCCAGCACTATAGTAGCAATAATACAAAAGTGCCCCTATATTAAAACTCAAACTGGTAACACTGCATACATAAGATGACCTAAATATCAATAACAATTACATTCCATTTCGTCTCTTATTATATATCAAATTATGAAACCTTTTCAATACTTTATGTAAACAATCAAAATAGTAATGTATTCAAGTCTAAAACCAAATTCCTCCTCTGAAAATATAAGGGAATACATGTAGTACTATACATGTATAAAGGCTATTTTGCCGACTTCCTGAGGTGACAGACATGCAAACAGCACATAACATGACTCATCATGACATCATTGATGCACCTTCTTCACCAGTGGCATCTTGGGAAATATGAAGGTCTTCAAGCATCTCAGCCAGGCTAATTCTAGGTGCTCCTTCATCATCTGTGTCACTTTCCACAGGAATGGTTGAATCTAAGGAAACCAGAAGATACAGTTCACATATCCAAACATGGAAATGCACAACAACCCTAACCACCATCAGTATTAACCAACTATGCTGTAGTAGAAGCTCTCAGCTCTTCTCTACAGCAGGCTTTTGGATACTTCCTGAATAAATGAGCGAAGTTAATATGCAAGAGCTAGTAACTTAAGGGATCAGCTCAAGTAACAACTGCATCATATGTATACAGCCAACATTTAATAAATTTTACTGCTCCTTATTTATCTGTTAGGTTAAAGCCTGACTGTAGTCATTTATAAGACAAATAAAAGTCACTTAACACCAACCTCTATAAATGTTGACATTCTTTCTAATTGCCTCATCTTCCTCAAGATCTTCAAGGAAATCTTGATATTGCCTATAAGAAAAAGAAACTTTGAACAGTGTCCCAAATGTTATAAAATCACAAAGGATAAGTATGTATGCTAATTAAGTAGGCAGACAGCTCTCACCTCCATTCTTCCCACCCAACCCAATTCTCATGGACAAGCAAAACACATAGCCAATTAAGACTACAGTTAATTTAGGTGTTCTGTTTTGTGTTTTGATGATCTTTATTTATTTGTTTGTTTATTTATTTATTTATTTGTGTGTGTGTGTGTATGTGTGTGTGTGGTGTCTATGTGAGTATATGGCATATGTGGGAGGGTACCCATGGAAGCCAGAAGAGGGCACTGGATGGTCTGAGGATAGAGGTACAGGTGGCTATGAGCCACCCAATGTGGGTGCTGGGAACTGAACCTGCATCCTCTGGAAGACCAGGAAGCACTCTTAACTACAGGAGCCATATAGAGGACAATATTGAATCAGTTTTCTCCTTTAGTTTTTTATCTTGCTTCTAGGGGCTAGAACTCTTATCTTGGTGTGCACAGCAAGAACCTTTTAGCTATTAATATCACCAGGCTAAGACTACAGCTGAAATAGTCAAGAATGTAGTTTAACATATGTATATATATTTTTAAATTACATTATAAAATGCTGTTGCTTCCCAATAACATAAACTCTTCCATTTTTTTTTTAATCAAAGCTTTTTTGTTTTGTTTTGTTTGTTTTTGGTTTTTTGTTTCTTGTTTTTTTTTACCACCATCAAGAATTAGGGCACAAGCTGGATAGATGTCTCAGCAGTTAAGGGAACTGGCTGTTTTTTCCAGAGGACCCAAGTTCAATACCCAGCACCCACAGGGAGCTCACAAACATCTATAACTCTAGTCCTAGGAGATCTTGGCCTCTATAAACATGTGCAGCAAAACTCATACACATAAAATAAGTTCAGGACGGACGGACACACACACACACACACATACACACACACACACACACAAAGAATTAAGACCACATTTTAAATGATGCAATAAACATTTTTAGAAAACTTTTTCATTTCTCTTTGTTACCTGAAACGTATTATCTAATGTCAATTATTATTTTGGTTTAAACATGAGCAAATCATCTATTTTGATATCCACATTATATTTGAACTTTTTAACTAAATTACTCGTATTGAATTTATATTGTAATCTTAAAGACAATAACCCAGGAAATAATTACTGAGTCTGTTTGTATAATATCATTACATCTTTTTATGGATTCTGTTATGTAGATTTCATTCATATTTTCTAAGAATACAAAGTTAGTTTTGAATGTAAAAATCCGTTGGGTACTATCAATTTTTTTTTTTTTTTTTAATGGAAGACTAATTTCTAAGGATTTCCCTTGAAACAACTTTTAAGGCTTAAGGAAAGTAGGACCTTTCATCATCTGTATCCATGTCTTCTCTGTCTCTTGCAAGCTCTTTCAGTTTCCAGTTTCTACGGCGCTGGCGTTTGGTACGGTCATAGCTCTTCTTAATTAACACCTGTAAGCAGAAATATTTGCAGTTATAAAACACAGAGACACACAGTGGGGGAAAAATTCAGAACTTGGGCATGCCAAGAAGTCAAACTGATGGCAGCAGTGAAACACAAGAGAAAGGTATAGAGATCAAACAACGTCAAGAGGCCTTTTCAAACTTTTACCATGTTCATGAGGATGCATTCGAGCATCACCTATCTAAGAAAATTTCAAATGACTATGTTAAATTTTTAATACCAAAAACCTGCACTGCTTTTCCCTCAAACTTTTATTTTCAGTCATCATTCATACAGCTCATTTTGAAACATTACAGGTAAAAACTCCATTTTCCACAAAAATAAGCACTTAGAAAATTTACCCGAGTTTTATAAAATTTAATAATTATGTAGTGAAAATTTCAGAAAACACAAAACTTTTAGGAAGACTGGTGATCACCTCATGTGACCTTTTAATAGTCATTCTAGAGCTGAAGAGATGGCTCTGTAGTTAAATGAACTCATTGCTCCTCGGTTCCCAGCACTCACATGGCAGCTCAAAACAATTTGTAACTCAAATTCCTGGAGAGCCAACACCTTCTGACCTCCACCTGTATGGTATGCATATGAATATATGGAGGAAAGACAATCATACCATTAAATAAACCTAAAAAAGAATTACTCATTCTGACTCATACCCAGTGTTTTTCCCCCTATTTATCAACTGAAGAACAACCAGATGAAACAGGAACCTATTAGGAACCTATTAATAGAACTTCCATTTTTGCTCACAGCTAAAGAAATTCATGTTTATTCTAAAAACATTAGGGAAGTGGGATTATTATCCCTCATTTCTTCACTGATGTTTATAAACTTTAAATTCACAACATTATAACTCTACAGACTTTTCTCAGATAAAAGTCTTTTCAAACGTTGATACTAGGAAGATTATCCAATTCTAATTTGTATTAATATTGAATAATAGTCTTAATTCTAAATGTCTTGTAAAGTGGAGAAAATATACAAAATAAGCTAATTTGAGTCTGAATAAATTTTATGTCATCATTTCCAAGTACAAACGTATTTTCTCCCTATCAAGAGCATTTTTGAGTTTTGCGTGGCAGTTTAAGAGGTTGGAATAGGGCCTCACCATGGTAGGCAAGCAATTCATCAGTGAATTACAGTCCTGGTCCTATTGTCCATTTTTGTGTTTTTGAGGCAGGGTCTCTTTTCCCAATCTAGTCTTAAATTTATTTAAACTCACTCTCTAACCCACACAGGTCTTGAACTTGTGATCCTCCTGGCTCAGCCTCCTGAATACCTGAGACTGTAGGCCTGTGCCACCAAGTCTGGCAGTAGCGAGTGTTTTGCTAAGAAAATCAAAATTTGATTGGCGGGGTTGCTAAATAAATCATCACTGTGTCAGCTGAATTATATCAACCCTCTAAACACAGGAACAACAACAACAACAACAAAAATAAAACAATAAACAACAACCTAAAGCCTTACCACGTCTGGAATTCTATCTGAGTTCATTTTGTTGACATGCTCATCATTTAAATTACAGTTGGCCAAATCAAATCTGAAATATAAACAAGAAAAGTTTAAGGAGTTTCCTTTGTGTATATTTTACTTTATATATAGCATTACACATACACATCTATCTTCAAGTGCAAGATTCTGTACGCTCCCCCTTTTAAGTTTTGAAGCTGAGAGATGGTGGCGCACACTTTTAATCCCAGCACTCAGGAGGCAGACAGAGGCAGTTGGATTTCTCTGAGTTCGAGGCTAGCCTAGTCTACAGAGCGAATTTCAGGGCAACCAGGTCTACACGAAGAAAACCTGTCCTGAACAGCAAAAGGGCCACAAAAACAAAACAAAACAAAACAAAACAAAAAACAAACTTTTGAAACTTTGGCCAGAGAGATGGCTCAGCAGTTAAGAACACTGACTGCTATTCCAGAGGATTTGGGTTCATTTCTCAGCTCTCACATGACAGCTCACAACCATCTGTAACTCCAGTTCCAGGGGATCCAACATCCTTTCCCAGGCTCCATGGCACCAGGCACATACATGCATGCAGGTAAAACTTAATACACATAAAATTTAAACTTTTTATGCTATGTGAACCTGCTTCTCTACAAATAACAGGGTCACAATGCACCATAAGCTTTTCACTGTCCACTGTGGTTCCTTTTTCCCATAAATTTGTTAGAAAAATAAGACAGACTGACATAGCAGCCTTAACTGCTGCATAATTCAACTGAATGTGTCTGTGTAATTAGTAAAACAAGCAACAATCCTTCATTCTATTGTAAAGAGAACTCAAACTCTGAAAGCCAAACCAATATCTACAGCACACTAATGAGTTCAGATGCAAACTGAGTGTTACTTAGTTTTATGGATTCTGTCTGGAATATAGGGCTGTTGTTGTTTTTAACTTATTTATTATGTGTATGTGTATGCCAGCATGCATCTAGGAATACTGTGTGCACACAAGTGCCTAGAAGTTACAAGTTTCAGATCCCTTAGAACTGGAGTTACTGCTGGTTGTGACCACCTGGTATGAGGGTTGGGAATGGCACCCGGAAGCTCTGCAATAGTACAGACTCTTAGCCTCTGAGGAACCTCTTCAGCCCTGGCTGCTTACAAAAAATGAAGTATCTTCACAGACATAAAAACTATCACCAAAAAGGTTTAAATATTCACCTAACTATTTAAATTCAGTATTTAATTACCAAAATCTTAGAATAAATGTTCCAAGTGGAACAATACATAATTTTAGCTACTAGTAATAAAACAAGCTAAAAGGCTCTTATAAACTCTTAAATCTTTTTTAAATTAACAAATTTAGTATTTTAAATATTTATTGGCTCCTGAAGGAAACTTGCAATGCTATCTGGCAAGTTAAAATACAACAAAATAAAACAAACCCCAACACCAGGTCTCCAGGATTTAAAAGATGTCCCAAGTGAGTCCGACAAAAATACTGTTTATCTGTATTCATTTCAGATGTCTTCTGGATCCAGACTTCCCCAAGGGTGTGCTTGACAGAAAAGAAATAAAAACATTCTTCAGAAACAATTCAAGAATCATTTCCTAGAAAAACTAAATATAATGTTAATTTTTTTCCCCATGCAATATATATTTAGAATTCCAAAATTCTAACAGTCAAAACTAACAAATTACCAAATCATAAAATAACTCCAAAGGAAACCAAACAACAATCCAAAACTTGCATAAACATTAACATTGCCCCTGAAAAATATACATATGCACACATGCAACACATACATACAGCATTTTCACAGAAAATGTCTTAATAGAGACAGGCTAACAGACTAAGCAAAAAAAGCAACTGAAAAGAGAAAAGAACCTTAGAGCAAAAATAACAGTTCAATCAAATGTCTATAAGACCCAAGACTTAAAACAACAACAACAAAAACCAACAACCAAGAGTTCAGAAAAAACCTACAAACTACACCAGCACAGTAATACTGGAAACACACACACAACCCATCAGGCTGGAGAGAGAGCGCAGTGGATAAAGATGGCTGCCAACAGCTCTGATGATCAGAGTTTGATCCTCTGCTGAACCCTTCAGGCTGTCCTCTCACTTGTACAAGTACATGCGCACAAGCACAACTCCCCGCTCTCCAATAAGATGTAAAAATACACATCACCTCTTAAATAGTCTCATAAAAATATCTAAGTTTATCAAAATGTAGATGCCCTTCTAGTTTATAGGAAATACGATAAATCCCGTTAAATGGCAGTAACAGAGATCCAAAAAAGTACCATATTCTACAAAATATCCTTTCAGGTTAAGAATAAACAAACCCCAAGACACTTCTGAGACAAAAAAGGAATCTGAATGTAGACCAAATGTGGTTCTCATAGTGATAAACTATTAACTCAAAAGGATTTCTATGATGTATAAATATGTATGGATGATCTCATATTTAGTACCAAATTGAAAGTCAAGAGATTTATTGACCACTTGATTCTCCTCCACCAAAATAAAAGGAGAAAATTCTTTTTAAAAACAGGGGGAAAAAAGGGCTTTTACCAACACAAAAAGAAAAAAAATTAACTTATCAGACTTTACAACCTTACCACAGTATCTCTATTCTTAAATTTAATTTTATTTTTTGTGAGACAAGAGTTTCGGTATGCAGCTCTGGTACTTGATATGCATACCAGGCTGGCCTCAAACTCAGAGATCCATATATTTCTGCCTGAGTATTGGGATTAAAAGGTTAATCCTAATCCACCATGAATTAATCCACCATGACGACTCCATTTTAAAACAATTTCTTACTTGTGTGAATGTGTTTATGACAGGGGTGTTGGCACATGACACAGCACACATCTGGAGGTCAGAGGGAAATTTTGTAGTGTAGGTTCCAGGAATCCAATTCAGGTCATCAGAATTCACTTTTAACCTGATGAATGATCTCTGGCCCCTCATTAACTCACCTCATGGTGTTTTACTGTATCTGATCTCTATATCGTATAATTACCAACAATTTAAAAAAAAACAATATATTTTAAAAGAACTTAAACAATACCAAAAAATGAGTAAAAATCAGTAGACGTGCTCACCTTTTTTGAAATCACCCCAGCCCCTGCACTTCGTTTCAGATCTCGAACTATGCTGCATTCTATCACAATAAACTCTTCAAGCTGCTTAGGGTGGCACAAACTATTGAAAGGGTGACTCCAGAAAGTGTTTCCATCAATATCCGCAACTAAGAATAGGCAGAACAAAAAAGACAAGGTAACTGACAAATTTCAGTCATCAACTGTGCTAACCAGAAGATGTACACGTCAAGTAGGATGCAACAGGAAAACAGGACTAAAGTCAAGTCACTCTGAGTCATCACTTATTTCCATATAGGAGCTCCAAACCTCCCACAGCACAACGGAAGTATCAGGTGTCAAAAATATTACATCTTACTTAGTTACTATAAGAAGAATGCCACAGACCAAATTCAATCAGTTTGATAGTGACATCATACGCTGGAATTTTATGGTAGAAACTTACTGGCCATCACAGCTGCTTAGGTTGTAAGACATCAAGCCTACTTTAATCTGACAGATAAGAATGCCTTTTCTGAAATCTGCAGATAGTTACTATTACTGTAAATAGACCTTAGCTGATGATATATAATCAATGAATTTCTGAAAATTAGCAAAATAACAAAAAGACAGAGAGAAATACCAAGACTTCTATCATTCTGCACTCTTCCCTTTTTTAAAAAGTGATTTATAGAAAGATATGCTAAAAATGACTCATAATAATGAAAAATGTTAAAATTCTAATTTAAGCTAGGTTTCCCACTCTATCATGGCTCAATGTCCCAAAATTTAAAATAACTGTTTAAAAACTAAGACTTATAGGCATGACATATAGATTAGCAGCAGAGTTCCTGCCTAGCATGCAGGACTCTGAGTCCAATCCTTGTGCACAGGCACACACGCACATTTGGCAAGACTTAGTCACAAAAAAATGTATGAAGCAGAAAATTTTCGTAAAAATTTATGGAATAAAAGTATGAAATACCTAAAAGTTCAGATTTGTTTCTTTAAAATTGAAAGAGAGTAACAAAAACCTTTATAATTCCAGTATTTTTAAAGTACTAAACTTTAACTATTAGTCTTCCAAAACATCGTCCAGAATGACATTTAGGACTGGGGATGCAGCTCATTTAGAAACTGCTTGCCCAGCATCCACAGGCCTTGGGTCCAATTTCCAGTACCATCTAACTCAGTTTTCAGTTTCAGGGCACGCCTCTGTGATCCTAGTACTGGGGAGCTGGAGAGAAGAGGGTCAGGAATTTAAGGTCATCCTTGAATACATACAGGGTTCAAGGTCAGCCTAGGCTATGAGACCCTACGTCAAAACAAAAACAAAAACAACAGATGGTGGGGACTACACACTAAAAACATAAATGCCAAGAGTGATTACTGTTTTACACACAGCACAAAATTTGTTCCAAAGCTTACCTTGTAGAGTGTTCGGGTCTATGAGATGGACGGCACTGGTTACACGAATACAAATACATATCTGGCTCATATTTCCCAGGCTCTGTGCCAGTTTTGGTGACAAACACACAACATTATCCTAGACAAAAAGAAATAACATCTAAAGCAAGGTAAATTCTAAACTAGCAACCTCTGATAAACATGCATTAATAAAGCTGATGAAACTGCTCTTGCCCAACCAAAACTATCTATCTGTCTTTCTGAATATATGCATGGGCTGGTCTAGAATTACCAGGCCTCATGATTCTGCCTATAGGAATGCCTGGCTCTACAACATTATGTTTCATTCTTGGGCCAATAAAGGACCTGCAGATAAAAAAGTCCTACCTTAGAGAAACCCAAAACACTCTGCACATTCATTTAACTGAATTGAAATGTTTTTAAGAATCTTTTTTATAATCAGCCTTCCACATCCATGTGTTCTTTAAATTCATTTCAATTTAACTGTGACATGAATACTTGCTTGTCATTCTGTATGTTAATATATACATTCTAATAAAAATATAACATTAAGAATAGAGTAACTTTCTAAATCCTGTGACTGACTTCTTTTGATCTTCATAAAACCAAATTTCAATGGAAAATAAGTTTCTCTAAAATACTTAAATGTTTTAAAATGTAATCAAAGACTTAATGACTGAAAAAGTCACATCTACATGGATAATGGAAGATACTATATAATCCAACATGTTACTTGTCTGTTTCTTAACTGTATCAAAAGATACAAAAGGCTGGGAGTGGTGGCCTACACCTCTAATCCCACACTTAGGAGCAAAGGCAGAGAATCTCTGAGTTCCAGTCCATCTAGGAAAGAAAATTATCTGGGTGACACCTAAAGCTGTATCTGTGCATGTTCACAGACTTTTCCATTGAGGTGGACACTAACATTCACAACTACCTCACCTTTTTGATTTTAAACTCAGAAGCTCCCAAAGACAAACAAAAATGTAATCAGCTTTCCACATCCATGTGTTCCATACCCACTAGTTCACCAACAAATATTTCCTTAAGCACTGTACCTGTACTGAACACATTGAGACTTTTCCTTGTTTTCATTCCCTAGAAATACAGCTTGACTAATAACCATTTACAAAGCATACACACTGTATCAGGTTTAAGTAACATATACTAAACAATTTTAAGAGCGATTTGTACAACCCTGGAGTTTGGTATCTACAGGAAATCTTAATTACCTACAGTTACCACAAGACAATTATATCTTCTTTTGTTGTATTTAATACACAAAACCTAATATGCTGTCATACCTAAGTTTACACTACCCAGGCTTTTATTGTTTTAATGAAGACTGGCAAAAAGTGGTGGTCAAGGTAACTACACTTTTGGCAAGAAGACAATTTGTTTTCATATTGTCATCCATGGCTACAATGTCAACAGTAGAGTGAACAGCTGTACTACAGATAGACTGAAAGCACAAAATATTTGCTAACAAAAAATACTGTTAAGGAAGCCTGCCAACCCTATTTTAAGCCATTATTTTCTTCTTTGTACTGTACTCTGATGTTATTCAGCATTAACAACTTCAAAAGCTGGACACAGACCTAGGTACAAAGAGTAGCTTCATCATTTGTGGTGACACAACTCTGGACAAGTTATCTATCTCTCTAAACTTTCTAAGCTTCAATCTCTTCTTTAAAATTATGCATTTCGCCTCTACTAATCTAATGAAAAATACTGAAGTACCAAGGTATCAGCTTAATGTAAATATTCAGCCACCATAAATAATGAGTGATAATTTTTAGTGATTGAATAGAAACATAAGTTTCAGTGTGGTAAAGAGCTCTAGTAAAACCTTTTCTTTCTTTTTTGACAGTCTTCAGGTTTGGCTGAAACTTTTCTTTGTAGCTGATCCTCCTCCCTCCATCTCCCCAGCGCTGGAATTGCAGGTGTTTGCCAACACACCTCATTTTATATGGTCACAAAGATTGAACCCAGGGCTTCATGAACTTAGGCAAACACTCTACCAACTAAACTACATCCCCAACCCAGTATAACCATTATTACTATTAACTAAAATTCTTTGTTTGAGGTAGGGTCTCACTATCTAGCCCTGGCTGTCCTAGAGATCTGCCTGCCTCTGCCTCTCAAGTGCTGGGATTAAAGCTATGCACCACCACATCCAGCTACTGGTTGGATTTTATTGATTTGTTTTTGAAAAAATGTTTTATCTTAGTATAATTAAATGAAATGATAATGTATATTTCAAATGTTTTACTCAAATTATGTTTATAAGTAAAAATGAGTCTATGATCTCATTTCCATTAATACTGTAGTCAAAATCCTGTTGGCCAGGCCAGAAAACAAGCATTAAGCTGAGTACAGATTCTCAGGTTAAAAAACAAAAAAAACAAAGCAAAACAAAACAAAATTCAATCCCATAAAGTGGGGGAAGTAGAGACAGGCAGACTCCAAGAGCTCATTAACCAGCTGATCAGCCTAATCAGTTGGTTTCGGGTACACTGAGAAACTCTCAAAAAATAAAGTGGACAGGCACAATGGAGACACTAATAAAAGACTTCTGGCTTCCCCATGCACACACCTACACATACATGCAGTCACAGGTACATATATATAACTCTTAAGCACATGTAATCCAAAGAGGCTCACTCCCTTTTTTGGGGGGAGGGGGAGGGGATTTCAAGACAGGGATTCTCGTTGGAGCCCCGGCTGTCCTGCACTCACTTTGTAGACCAGGCTGGCCTCAAACTTACAGAGATCAGCCTGCCTGCAACTCCCAAGTGCTGGGATTAAAGGAAAATGCCACTATATCTGGCTAAATATCATGCGTGTGTACGTGGGTGCGTGTGTATACAGATGAATGTTCATCAGAGGACAACTTTATGGAGCAGATTCTCTCTTCCTTTTCCATGGGTTCCTGGGATCCAACTCACGCGGTCAGGCTGGCACGGCAAGCACTTTATAAACACTAAGCTATCTCACCAACCCAATCTTTTCATCATAACAAGCAAATGAAGGGCATTCCAATTCATAGTTATAAACACATATTTTAAATCTTTTTAACGAAGTTGAACATGTAAGAAATCATTGAAGGAAGTTATTATTAATTTTTGGCCAGCCAATAGGAAACCAAAATCAATTATAACCAATTAGTTACTTGTTCTCTTATAGACAAAGATGAATTATATGAAAAAGGTACCTTGCATATTGGAACAATTTCCACAGAAAAAGTACTCTTATAATTGTATGTGTTACTATGGATATCCTGGGAGATCAACCTCTGTGATGCTTTGTACCTATTAAGAAAAAAACAATCAACAGAAAGGGACAGGTCCTTACTTGTATAAACTTAGTAACATCAATTTTTATCTAATCAAAGTCCAGTATCTTCAAACTGCTTCCCGATGGTGTGGTTAGCATTAACTGTCAACTCTCTGTAACCTAGAATCACCTGAGTAGGACTGTCTGCAGTCCAGAGAAAGATGGGGCTGGTCTATGATGTGGGAACACCCAGCCCCACAGTGGCATGTTCTCTAGGCAGAGGGTCCTCAACTGCTGGAGAAATCTAGCTGGGCACAAACAAGCAAGCAGGTGGGTGGGTGTGCCCGCATTCATTTCTCTCTGCTTAGAGGTGATGTGACTCTCTGATTTATCGACGGCAATGGACTATAGCAACCGTAAGCCTAATAAACGCTTTATCCCCTTAAGCTGCTTTCTGTCAGGGTGTTTTACCCACTTATATTTCAAACCTTCTTCAGAATGACCATACTCTAGGCCACACTAATGTAACTCCTGAGTTTTGTTCATGCTAATCTCACCTTTCAACATGAACTCCACTTATGAAAATGTCTCTCATCTTGAAGTCCTAGCTCTTCTACCCAGCTCTGTAGCTCAGTGCTACAGTGCTTATGACTATGGAGTTAGATTAGCTATCAAAAGATTCTTCAGCACACTTTGGCTAATATAAAATGAACAACTCAATGTTTCATGATTATTTAACTATGTATACTGAAAATTTTAACAAAGTTAGCTAAGCCTGAAGAACGGATGTGACGGATATAATATCTATCATATATGTATTATATATTTTACACACACACACACACACACACACACACACACACTCTCTCCCTATTCCCAAACTCTTGGACTTACACATTTAGGTTCACAACTTACCTACAGGGAACTGTACCCTGAAGAAACTCTACCATCTTCTGAGCATGTTGTTTTGAAGAATAATAGAAATCCAGACCATCTAAAAAAATAATAAAAATGGTCCTGTAAAACAAGGTTTTCCTCTAACATGACTACATTACAAATTAAATCCATAAGCAAAACATACTATTAAAGAAAATACTATAGGCAAAACAGTTTAAACTACCTGCCTGTTGACTGCCTGCTGAGCTCCCCAAGAGCTGCGGGTACCGTGTGTTCCTGGTCTCCAGCTTTGTGAGCTCATGCCAGGGTCAGCCGTGGTGATGCAGTGGGACCCCTCTCTGGGGTGAGTACATGTGTGTTGCATGATGCCTCCCCAGAAAAATTCTGTCACCCAACAGCTGGTCTAAATCAAAGTTTAAAAGCAGGGGCTGGAGAGATGTCTCTCAGTTAAAAGGCTATTGCAGAGGACCTAGGTTCAGTCCTTAGCACGAACAACCCTCTGTAACTCCAATTCCAAGGAGGGTGTCTAATGTCTTCTGGCCCCTGTGAACTCTGTACATACGTGGTACATTTACATACATGAAGTCAAGACATTCATGCATATAGAAAATTAATTTTTAAAAGTCAGAGGCAATAAGAGACTTATTGTAGAATATGCCTCCTATCATTAGTCCTTAGTGAAATGGAAATTAAACCACAGTAAGAAACCATTACTGACTTCCTTCTACAATGTATATAAACAAGGATGGTAAGCAACAAGTAGAGCATCTGGAACCTTTCAACACTTCTGTCAAAAATGTAAAGACCACTGTCACTTGAAAACATTCCATGGCAGTTTCTCAAACATAAACATCCACAGAATTTTTCCATAAGAAATTTCCCATTCCCCATAGTCTCCATGTTTTTTATGTTCTTTTAGAGGGTAGGGAGTGGAAGGCTGGTTAAGTTTTTGTTTTTCAAGAGCATGAAGTTAGAGGGCAGTATCTGGGAGGAGTTGAAAGAGGAAAAAATATGAATAAAATATATTGCATGATTTTTTTCAATTTAAAAAGCACAAGGGAAAAGGAAAAGAAAATGAAACTTTAACAAATATTATACTTAGAGCTGGAAGGTAACCAACATCCTAAAAGCATATACAAAATTATTCAAAATAGATCCCTGAGTGAAGGATACCTCACAGACGACTTGCGTTAGAAACAGATGATTAATATACATAAGAAAACTGTTGGCCCTCATTACTAATCAAGAAGTACAAATTAAAACAATGTGGCATTCTCTTGTCCAAAATTTAGAATGACCAATACTGTTCCTAACTGGCAAGTGCTTGAACAAACAAAAGCTTACTGGTGCTGGGAAAGTACACCAGGACTATAGTAAGACATCAAAATTTATATTCAGATTCTCTTGCCCAGTAATTCCAATACCTTAAATCAATTCCCAAAAAAAGCACTACATATTCAAAAGGGCAAACATTAGGATAACTATTCAGTGCTATTTTTGGCGGCAAAAAATAAAGTAACTGTAAGTCCACTAATAAAGACAGCAAATTTATATATCCAGTGACTAAAGACTACCAGACAGCAATTAAAAATAACTAAATGGAACTACATGCATTGTTGCTCAAAGTCTTCCAAATGTGTTAAAGGCAAATAAAAGTCACAGAGCACAAATAAGAGCAACTACTTACAACGTGCAGAGGATATTTTCTTTTAAGGAACTACATTGTCTCTAGAGATGACAGGTGCATAAAAGTAAAGTAGGGCAGGGGTCTTTTATATAGGCTTTGAGAGTTTAGATTTTTAAATACATACTTTGTTTCTGCATGTGTTTCACACGCATGCAAGATGCCTACAGGGCAAAGGAAACATTAGATTCCCTGGAGCTGGAATTTGAACCACTGAAAATGGGTGCTTGGAACCAAAAGCCAGCCCTCTCAAAGATCAACTAGCACTCTGACCTGCTGAATCATCTCTCCAGCTCCAATTGTTATTTCTGTTTAAGTTACAAGTACACAAGCCAAGAGGAACACTTGAGTCGAAAACTAGTAAATTAGTAAAGAACACAATACTTCTAGCTGGAAGAAGTGCTGTTACACTTGCAGCATTTGGGGTCTCACAGAACATTTTAAAATATATCCAGGTTTTGGCCAACAATGCAGTCACTGGGAGTAATTTTTACTATGGCCCTAAGCTGGAGTATGAACATGACCCTTGTCTCATGCCTCTTTTTCAGGGCGCTGAGGGAGGTGCACAAACAAAGCACCTCACACCTCGTTTACTAAGAACGATGGACCGGCTCTGCTCCTTCAGCATGAGCTAACACAGCTGGCCCACAACTTTCTTGTTTGTTTGCTTCATTTCTGTTTCAATGTTTTTGTTTTTCCCCAGTAGCAGAAATAACTCATTATCAATGTTCCATCCATGGGAAAAATTTAATGCAAGATAAACTTCTAATACAAAACAATAACACCTAAGGCATAAATTACTAAGCCAATATAGTTTAAATTTCCAGAGATATTAGTCACTCATTATATGGAACATGTTCTCTTTATCATTTAATTAGTTTAATATTCATAATAAATAAACTAAAACTACATCAAATGAGACAGCAAACTGAGACAGAACTTATAGACTACTACGAAATTTTTCAAGTTTTAAAACTCTATTCAGACATTTCATTATTTACTCTTTTTTACTGTTACGCTGAATTTTAGTCATTACAAACACCTCTGAGTATATAAGACATGCACAAGCAGTATAGAACTTAAAGAACTTCCAATCAGAGCAATTTTCCCCATGTGAAACAAGTTTTTGATGAATTCCATGTTCTAGCATTTATGCCGCATTAATGGAGCCACTGCTTATTCTTCACACAGCAAAATAAGCAACCCAGAGGGCAAAATTAATATTAATACACGATTACATTCCAGCACAAAGAATGGCATCTACCATAAACTACATGCTTAATAAATGAACTGGGATGGAAGAACATCACTGGGGGTGGGGGTGGGCACAGACAGTTCTAGAATGTGCCATCCAGCGTAGAACTAATCACCTGAGTATAGTATCAGCGAACACAGGAAACTTCAAAATTCAACTCCTGAATTATGGCAGACACATGTGGACAGCCACTACCACTGGACGCTGCAGACAGAAAATTAAGCTGCTTTCTTTTACACATGCACATGTGTGCACGTGAATGTTTTAAAGAATTTTTAGAAGCGCTTCAACTGCTGAGAAAGACTATTTGGAATTGAAAGAAATTGTTGGTATTGTCTCAATCCTTTTAAGCTTGAACTCACCATGGATCTCCTTGATGCGCAGAGTATTCTGATGCATCCCGTATTTCAGAATCAACTGCTCCAGATAGTAGAATGTTTTCTTGTGCAGAGTCTGAACATCCAAGCAGGACAGAATACATTTTTACAGGCCAAAAAACATTTATGAATGCAATACACATATATCATCTACAGATACAACACACTGAGTTTTTCAAACAAAACATCCTTTAAAAATTACCTAAAACATACACTAGTGATACATCCCCAAACTTGAATGTTTCAGGAACCTAGACTCTGGTTATGTATAAGGGACTTAGAAAGAGAACAGAGAAGTTTTTATCATCTATTTATGATGAACAATGATGCAGGATTCACTCATTGTCTGTTTTCAGTACCTTCTGCCTGACTTGAATCACAGCCTTCCAGAAATCCTTAGCTTCTACTCTATGGCAATCCCCACACATCTGGGACTGAACGACATAATCCACCACAAACACTTGCTGAAGGATAGCACCATTCATCACCTAGAAAAGAAAGCAATTGCATTACTTCACTTACAGTTCTGTTCAACAGTGAATATTTTCTGTAATTAAAAAAAGAAAAAATTAATAAATCCTGAGTGAGGTAACCCAGATCCAGAAAAACACATAGTATATACTCACTTATAAGCAGATATTAGCCATATAATACAGGATAACCCTACTAAAATCCATAGACCTAAAGAAGCTAAACAAGAAGGACCCTAGGGAAGATGCTTAATTCTCATTCAGAAGACAAAAGGCTAGATACAGAGCGGTGGAAGAGAAGGACAGGACAGGAGCTTAACACAGCGGTCTTCTGAAAGGCTCCACCCAACAGGGGATCGAAGTAGATGCTGAGACTCACAGCCAAACTCTGGGCAAAGCACAGGGAGTCTTATAAGAGTGGGTGATAGAAGGACCCAGAAGGGATAGAAGTTCTACAAAGAGACCAACAAAGCCAAAAAAATCTGGGCCCAGGGGGGCCTGCAGGGACTGATGTACCAACAGATGCAGCCCATAGGCAGCTCAGTCTCCATGGGGGTTCCCTAGTAAGGAGAGCAGGGGCTATCTCTGACATGAACCCAGTGGCTGGCTCTTTGTTCACCAACCCCTGCTGTTGCAGCCTTGCCAGGCTACAAGAAAGAGGATCCAGGCACTCCTGATCTGAGAGGCTAAGGTCAGATGGTAGGGGAGGAGGGCTCCCCTTTTCTGTGGTCTAGGGGATGGGGACGAGGAAAGAGGGAGGGAGATGGGACCAGGAGAAGAGGGAAGGGCATACAATCTGGATATAAAATGAATAAATTATGATAAATAAGTTTTTTAAAAATTATAAGTAATTACAATGTTTTCTATAAATGCATTGAGAACACCAGGAAGTCAAGGTTAAAATTATAAAGCTAAGTTCTGATAAAGCTAATTTTGGGGGAGGAGATGGCACAAGGATTAAATATGCACCCTCATGCATGCTGACCAAGTACTCCATCACTGAGCTATGATCTCTCCCAGTGCTTACTCTGTCTTAAGAAAGGCACACATGCTGTATTCCAAAGATTAGGTTACCTTTTTAAATTTACCTCTAAAAAGTGGTTGTGAACAAATTCTTTTAAAAATCTGGAGGCAGGGATGTGTTTTGTAATTGGTGTAGTGCTTGTCTATCGTATTTAAAGCCTGAAGTTTGATTCCTATGCTGGCACACACCTATTATGGCAGCACTTGGGAAGCAGAAGCTGGATGATCAAAAATTCAAGGTATTCTTGGCTGTCTACCGAGTTTGAGAATTCAATCTAAAAACAACTTTTTAAGTGGCACACATGCACAAGATGTGTGTGTGCATGTGCGCCTATGTATGTGGGACACAAAGAATTCAGGTTGTGAAGAACATTCTAAAGGCAAATTTCCAAGACCTGGAAAAATGGATGGCTCAGTAGCTAAGAGCACTGGCTGCCTTTCCAGAGGACCTGGATTCAATTCACAGCACCCACAAGACAGCACACAACTGTCTGTAACTCCAATTCCAGGGTATCTGACACCCTCATACCAATGCTCATAAAATAAAACTAAATAAACTACTTTTTTAAATGGAAAATTCCCCAGAAACAATCAAAACTTGCCTGGGAAGCTTTTTAAATAGACAGTCTAAGAATATATATAAGCTTGAAGAGTGTTGCCTGGCATACTTGAGGCCTTGGGCTTGATCTCCAGTAGTTCAAGAAAATAATAAATACATATATCCAGAAATCCTGATTCAGGAACTGTGAAATATGATAATTAACCACGTTTGAGAATCACAGTCTTTGCTAATGTTTTAACATCAGACTTTAAAAATTAATTTATTTCTGCTTTTTTAAGTTTTCGTTTTTAATTTTATGTGTGTGGATGAGTACATGAGTGCAGGTGACCATGGAGGCAAGAAATGGGTGCTGGATCCGTTAGAACTAGAATTACAAATGGTTGAAGGGTGCCCGATATGGGTACTAATAATTGAACTCTGGTCCTCTGGAAGAGCAAGAAGTCTTCTCAACAGCTGAGCCATCAATCTTTCCAGCCCTGTTGTTTGTTTTATTTTGAGGGGGTGTCAGAAGTTATTACGTAGCCCAGGAAGACCTTGAACTCATAACCCTAGGACTATAGGCAGTGACAACATGTAAAAGTAAGCTCGTAAGAGTGAGTGAGAGCTGGGCATGGTTGTGCACACCACCTCTAAGGCCAACACCCAGAGGCAGAGGCAGGAGGATCTCTATGAGATCCAGGCCAGCCTGGTCCATTAGTAAGCTCTGGGCCACAGAGGGCTACCTAGGGAGAACCCATCTTAAAAACAAAAACAAAACCTCTGAAGAGAACCCACAATTTCTGAGTAATGGTAATTACTAGTGACCTAATCATGTCCGATGATCAAAAGATAACAAAAGACTAAGATCTAGATTGTACTCTTCCTTTTCGGCCTTTTAGTCCGTAAAACAATTTAACACTACTAGTTCCTCATTCTCACTACTTGCACTTTAGCCACGCTTAGAAAGAATGAACAGCTTACCTCTTTCTGAATTGTCAATTTAACTTTAAGCCTCTTCGAATGGGGCTCAGTCCAAACAAAGCCTGCATCAACAAGCCGAACCTTTAATAAAATATTAGAAAAATAAAAGTAAGTACCCACCCCACCTAATGGTGGAAAGATGAATGAATCCCTCATAAATAAACAGATTCACATCAGAGATGCTTCCCCGGGCAGCCGATGGGAATAAATGCAGAGACCCACAGACAATTATTATGCAGAGAGAGAGCTCAAATTGGAGATCTCCATCAGGTCCCTTCCCTTGGAGTTCAGGAAACCCCAAGGAAGAAGGGAATGAAGGATTGTAGGAGCCAGAGATATGGAGGACACAAGGAAACACAGCACACACAGCCAACTACACAGACTCACAAGGGCTCAGAGACTGAGGCAGCAATCACGGAGCCTGCATGAGTCTCTCCTAGGCCCTCTGCTTCCATGTTATGGCTGTTAGCTTGCTGTTTTTGTGGGACTCCTCTAACAGTGGAGTAGGGATGTTATCTGACTCTTTCACCTGCTCTTGGGACCCTCTCAGTCCTATTAGGTTACCTTGTCCAGCCTTGATATGAGCGTTTGGGCCTAGTCTTAACTGTATCTTGTGCTATGTTTGGCTGATAGCCAAAAAAGAAAAGAGCAGGGAAGCTTGTTCTTTTCTGAAAGGAAATGGAAGAGGAATGAATCTGGGAAAGAGGCGAGGTGGTGAGGAACTAGGAGTGGAGAGAGGAAAAACTTCTGTCAGGATGTATTTTATGAGAAAAGAATAAATTTTAAAAAGAACAGACTCATAAGATCTTTGAAGAAATATGTGATTAACTCATTACATACCATCACTACAAAGAAGAAAAAAAAAACATTTATCACTAAACCTATGTTAACAATTGCAGCAAATGAAAGGGTAACCCAATGACTGTACTAGTAAATTGAGCAAGACTTCCAAGTAGTTTTCTAAGAGAAAAAATTATTTGAAGAAAAAAATAGTACTGTTCTTCAAACACAAATTACTTTTTCTTAAGAAAATGAACTGGTGACTTTATTACTCAAAAGAAACCACATTTTAAAAACAAACAAAACTCCTAAAGTTAATATCTTTCTATATTGGTCTGTGGCTTCATTTTTTTAATTTATTTTTTCCTTTTAAGAATGGACATTTACTCATGTTCATAGCAGCTCTATTCGTAATAGCCAGAATCTGGAAACAACCTAGATGTCCCTCAATGGAGAAATGTATACAGAAAGTGTGGTGCATTTCCAAAATGGAATATTACTCAGCAATTAAAAACAAAGAAATTATGAAATTTGCAGGCAAATGGATGGAACAAGAAAAGATCATCCTGAGTGAGGTGACACAGAAGCAGAAAGACACAAATGATATATACTCACTTATAAGTGGATATTAGCCATATCATGTAAGATAAACATACAAATATCTATAATCCTAAGAAAGTTAAACAACAAGGAGGACACTAGGGACAGGAACTCCACAAGGAGAACAACAGAGCCAAAATACGTAGGCCTGGGGGACCCGCAGAGACCAATACTCCCAACTAAGGACCATGCATGGAGAGGACCTAGACCCCCCGTTCAAAGGAAGTCCATTGGCTGCTCAGTTCCCAAGTGGGTTCCTTAGTAAGGGGTGCAGGGGCTGTCTCTAGTGAACTCAGTGGCTGGCTCTCTGATCACCTCCCTCTGGGTGGGGGGGTGCAGCCTTGCCAGGCCACAGAGGAAGATGATGCAGCCAGCCTTGATGAGACCTGATAGGCTAGGGTCAGACAGTAGGGGAGGAGGTCCTCCCCTATCAGCCCTATCAGGGGACTATGGAAAGGGCATAAGAGGGAGAAGAAGGAGTGTGGGTAGGACTGGGAGGAGATGAGGGAGGGGGCTGCAGCGGGGATACAAAGTGAATAAATTGTAATAAATAAATATATAAATAAAATTAAATTTGAAAAATAAAGAAAAAAAAATGGACATTTAGCCAGGTGGTGGTGACATATGCCTTTGATCCCAGCATTCTTATAGCAGAGGCGAGTGGATCTGTGTGGGTTCGAGGTCAGCCAGAGCCGACTACCTAATTGTAATACTCACTGCTAGATCAGGAGCTAAAAACAACTTGCTATTCTTAACGAACTGAATATAATGTATTAAGGCTAAAAGGAAAGCTTTGAAGCAGAGACTGAGAGAACAGGAACGAAGGCTTTGTAATAATCTGAGCAGAACCTGAGCTAAGATGAACCGGAAATAAGAGAAGCGAGGGGTACTTGGAAGGTAAGTCACAGGATCTAATACCTATGTAACAGAGAGAGAAAGAGAACATCGAATCGGGCACAATACCCAAGCATCCAGCTTAGGCAGCTAGGTAATACAATTTTTTGACACAACTGTTTATGTCAGATTTAATGGAGAAAGATCTACTCACGGCATCTATGACACACATAAGTAGACAGTATGATACTGGTCTAGAGGACGGAGAAACCTGATAACGAACAGACTAAAACTTGTGAGCAAGCAGATTTTAACTGTCTGGTGAGATTAAGACTAGCCAACGCAGACGCAGTGCTCAGGAGTAAACTAACCCGATATGGATGACTAAGCGAGCTACCAATCCCAGCAGTCAACAGACAAGTCACGTGACAGAGTGATAAGAGATTCCTAACCACCCTCACTCCTATGCCCCCAACTTTATTGTGCCCTTTGTCCTTTACCATAATTCCACATACCTGTCTCCCTCTCATCTCCTACAATCCAATTTCCACATGGTTCTTCAGCCTCTTCTGTCCCTAACAGTCTTTCAAATCCTAAAGTCCTTTTACTATGCTCTCTACTCACATCCAAACCTTTAAAACCAATGGAGCATTTCTTGTACTTTCTTTTTATCTTTATTGTGCTGCTTCCCTCCAGACAAAAAATAAAAAAAAATTAAAAAAAAAAAAAAAAAGCCAAGAGCAAAATGAATCAAGAACTTGAAAGATTCCAGAAATAGAACAATAATATTGCTAGGGATGGAGAGATAGCTCAGCGGTTAAGAGCACTTGCTGTTCTAGGAAACTGAATTCAATTCCCAGCACCTACAAATCAGATCACAACCATCTGTGACTCCAATTCCAGGGAAACCAACACTCTCTCTGACTTCAAAAGGCACTGCACACACGTAATATACAGACATGCACATAGAGAACCATATACATAAAATAAATCTCAACAATTTTCTCTAATAAAAGAAAAATATTACAGCTGGACAAAGGTAAATATAAAAATTAAGTGTGTGCATGCATGTCTTAAAATATCTGTAATGGGACTGGCAAAATGGCTCAGTGGTAGAGCACCTGACAAATATGGGCAAAGACCTTCAGTTCAATCTCCAGCCCCCCCCAAACAAAACAGAAAGAACAGAAAATAGGAAAAAAACAAACAACATCCACCAAAACAAAGCAAAACCCACCCCAAAAAATTTTCTGAAAATGAGTATTTTATTGGTGAAATACAACGATTTTAATTATCTGACCTACCTTACTCAGAGGTGCTTTAATTTTTTTCAAACACAGAGCAAGAAGTTCCCTGGATTCTAAAGCACACTGTACCCATGATGCTGGTGGCTGAAAATATCTGAAAGAAAATAACATACTAAAACCTGCCAGTTCTCAGGAAAAAAAACCCAGCAATTTCCATTGGTATGCAAAAAATGATAGTGATTACTAAGCAGGAGTAATACCCAAAGCTACTCTGGGCCCTTAACCTGAAGAGATTAGAAGTCTATGAGACCTGTGTCTTCAGTTCAAAACTGAAATTCTGAGAAAGCCAATGTGAGATATCTGTGATATATCCTGTCATTTCCGTTTGTGCAAAGTCAGTTAGGAGCGCACTGAGGATGGGCTCAGAGGGTAAAGGCGCTCGCTGCCAGGCCTGACAGCCGGAGCTCACATGGTGAGAGAAGAGATGCAGCTCCTACAAGCTGTCCTCTGACCACCACATGCCTGGTCTGAAGTGCACATACACAAAAAATAAATACATAGATGTTAAAATAAATTTAAAAACAACCTCTAGTGAGGAGAGCTGGAGAGATGGCTCAGCAGTCAGGAGGACTCCAGCTGGGTTCCCAGGACTCACTGTTGGGCAGCTCACAGATGCCTGTAACTAGCTCTAAGGCAAGGCAACGCCCCTGGACTTCAGGGACACAGCGATGATGTGCACATGGCCACATATACATAATTAAACAAAAAAGATTGTTTTAAAATTCCAGTAAAGGGCAATATGCCCAAAATTTCCTCGAAGCTATCCTGACAAACAGGTAAGAATGATCTCAAATGGCACTTAAAACTGTTTATTTTGTACCTCTAAAACGTGTGAGAAATGTTTTTCTCACACAAAGAAAGAAAAAATAGTACACACAGCATTGTGTATCAGCAGCAATTCCGTCATCAAGTTCTGTTTCAACTTTTAAGCTAAAAACACAACTTTTCAAAATAAGCCTCATTAAGACAAGCATGGTGGTGCATGCCTATAATCCCAACACGTTTTGGGAAGCAAAGACAGGCAATCTCTGTTTGAGGCCAGCCTGGTCTACAGAGCAAGTTCCAGGATAGCCTGGTCTACAGAGAAACCCTGTCTTGAAAAACAAAAATTAACTAATTAAACCTCATTAAAGTAAAATATAAATCCTTTCTGTATACTAAGAATTTTTTAACCCAGTCTTCGAAGTACTACTATGCACTAGGTAGGTATCAATAAAGTTTGTTAAATACTCTCAAATGAGCTATGTAAATGCTTTCTTGCCATGGTTACTAAATGGTTAAACACTTTGATCTCCATGTTTCAAGGTTCAATAAGAACCATCTGTGTATACATACTTTCAAAGGATGTTTCAAATATTACTAATCATCTAGTAAAATCCCTTCATTCTCAGGAGAAAATCGAGCCTCAGAGACTACTTCTAAGCATGACAGAAAACTAGCTGATAAGCAATCAGAGAAAAACTAAGAGTCCTGATTCTTTGTCTAGAACTTTCAAAAGCCTACTGTGTGCTTAATATTTATAAAAGCCTCATGTTTACTGGACTCATGCACTGTAAATCCCCTAAAATAATACAATAAATTTACAGACTTGTCTATGTGCACACAGAGATATTATTCTAGGGAGATACACTGTGAATTCCTAGGGAGGTCCACACACAACCTCCACATACACAAAGCAACTGCTAAACATATTTGGAAAATTACAGGCATGTAATTTTTATATTCACTGGCAAGTTTTATATCTCTCAACAGACCATGAGATGTTAAGTAGCCTGTGTCAACAACTAAAAGAATAAAGTCAACTCTCAGAAAGCATCTTCTACTGTCAAATTCAGTATACATACTTTTACTTTTATACAAGTACCTTTGCTATACCAAATTAGTAGGACAATAGAAAGCACACTATAAAATTACAAATTACTAAATTCTTGGTAACATCAATTAAGTACAAATCAAATCTCAATTGCACATGCTTCATTCTGTGTACCTCAGTGTAATCTCGCACACCGCAGTGGCTCTCTGAATACCACCTTAAGTAAGCTCAATAAGTAAGATACTGTACCTTTGACATTGCTTGCAGAAAGAAATGGAGACCTGCTTTGGAATACCTTGGCTGATGTCAACTTTACTTCGCAAACAGGCCACACAAATATTGGCAGGATTTGGACTAATTGGGACGCCACACTCACAGCATAAGCTTAAGAAAAGAAAGCATAAAATTTTCCCAATTAGATTTATAAAATTACTAATAAAAAAAAGACAACAACAGAACACCTACCAAACCAAAGCCTTCAAGATTCTACTATTCTATTTAGGGGAAGTGGAGGGGGTGCATTTGGTGGGTAAAAAAACGCTTACAGCTCTTGCAGTGGACCCCGGGTCGATTTCCAGCACCCAAGAGGCAGCTCACAACCATCTGTAACTCCAGTTCCAAGAGATTCTATCCCTCTTCTGATCTCCATGGCCTCCTGCATGCACGTGGCACACACACATACATTCAGGCACACACATAAAATAATTATATGTATATTTAAAAAAAAAACAAAAAAAAACGACAAGCTGAGTGTGGTGGGAAATCCTTTTAATCTTAACAATCAGGAAGCAGTTTACAAAGATCTGTGAGTCCCAGGCCAGCCAGGGCTTCAAAATGAGACACTGTCGGGGCGGGGTGGGGGGGGGGGGGGGGGGGGGGGCAGAAAAAGGCACTCTTAAAAGACAGAGTAAAGAATCCTGAAACACTGGAGCAAAAAAACAAGGATACAATTCTGAAAATGTTTAAACAAAGCACTGTGCCACAGAACCTCAAACAACGATATAAATGTTCTAGTCCTTCATTATCTCTTCTTTAAATTGGAAAACTAAGAAAAAAATTAACAGTGCAAATAGTATAGCATCAGTGGCAAAAACTGAAGGGCATTCCGTGTCAACAATATGTAAGAGGGCCAAGTGTGACGATGAGGCAGACAGATCTCTGAGTCCCAGGATAGGTGGGCTTAAAAGATGGTCAGACTGTCTGAAAAGCAAAATAAACAACCAAAACAAACACAAAATGATCTAAATACTAACCTGTTTTAAGACACATCTGGCTAGCCTAGTTGACAGCCTCTTTGTTCTGAGCATTATCTATACAACATTAGGAGCAGTTCAATTACTGGGACCCACGGTAAAGGAAAATGTGTGTAGAACAAGAAAACAGAAAGGAGACTCCTAGGGAAGGAAGGGGGAGGAGGAACTGGCAAGCACAGTGATAGGGTAAATATGAGCACTATACAATGTTAGATATACGATAACGGAACCCAGCATTTTTTAATGTTAAAAACTAACTTCAAAAAGAAAACTAGACTAACATACAGGAGAGAAAGAGCATCTACGCCTACTAAGGCTCTAAACTCTGGAGTTCTGAACTGGGTTTGACAGATCTCGGGACTTGGGAAGCTAAGGGCGGAGGACAAGGTAATAATCTTCCAGCGGTAGTCAAGAGCTGCATGTGGGTACTGCACCGTGTGGCTGGTCTGACAGAGGAGCTGAGTTATCAACTTACACATCCACGTGGGGCTAACGACCACACGCCGCGGTGCCTCTCTAGAAGGACGTCTAGAACAAACCCTTCTCAAAGCATATGTTTTCTAGATCGAACTTAAAATGAGTTAGACTTCCTACGGGATTAAGACCTATTTTCTTTCCCCACAGAGAAAAAGACTTCTTTCTCCTCCTACCACAAACAATAATAATAATAATTAATCTCAGTAAGTTTCACAGGCTCCTTTTACGATCTGGAAACCTTAGGATCGCAAGAGGGCTCGCGACTCACATGTGTCCCGGGCTGCGATCAACGGAATCTGTCATATACTCCATGGCTCTGGACCTATGAAGGGGAGGGAGGGAGCGGTGAGACTGAAATCACGCCGTGTCTCCCGAGCAGCTCAGGCCCCGGGGGCTTCGGGGGCCGCCCGCGAGCCGCCGCCCCGCGCCGTCCGCCCGGACCCCGCGTGCCGCCGGCCCTGGCCCCGCCCCGCGCCCCAGCGCCCACGCCGTCCGCTCGCGGCCGGGGTGCAGCGCCCCCTCCTCCGGCCTCCGCGGGCTCCAGGAGCCGGATCTCGATCCCGGAACCCACCAGCACCTGCGGGACGGGCCGAAACGCAAGAACAGCCGGCCAAACTCCGGGCCGGGACTGCCCTGCAGTTGCTTCAGCCGTCCAACGCCACTGGGAAGATCTCGCGATAGGAGGACCGGAAATCCCGCGTGCGGGAGGACACCGGTGAAAAGGGCGAGTGGGCGGGCCAAAGAGCACAGGTCCAGCAAAGGGCGGAGCCTATGGAGGAAGCGGGGTGTGGGAGGCGGGGCGAACTGAGCAGTTTCGTAACGCTTTCTAGAACCGCCTACTCTATGCGCTTCTCAGCCGGTTTTCCTGCGTGCCGTACCTGCGCAGTGAAGGAATGATGGCTCGCCGGTTAAAAGCACTTGTTCTTAAAAAGGACCTGGCTTCACTTTCCAGCACCCGCACAGTGGGCTCACAGCCTTCTCACCGTTGGAGAGAATCTGACCTTAACTCCAAAGGCACCAGCCGCAAATTTGGTGCAGATGCGTTCGTGAAGGCAAAACACGCATATGCATAGAATGCCCCTTCCAAAAAATGCCCAATATAAATACCACCATGGACATCCTGAGAATGTCAAATCACTACTTACTAAACAATCGATACACAAAAATAAAATCTGGAAACTTTTACAATTATGTCATCTGTCTTGCTTATTTGTTTATGATTGAAAAAAAACTACTCAGAATCAGCCTGAAAGATAAGTGTTTTGTTTTAATTTTTCTTTATTCCTGTTAGTTTGGGCCTCTAGAGTATTTATGTGCTTCAAGACCAGCTTGGCTGTGCAGATGGATTATGCCTGGGAAGAATCTCCTTCCATTTCTATGCTTTATCACATTGAATCAAATGAAGAGAAGGACTAATAGAATGGTTGGGCTAATTATTGCCATTAGTAAGCCACTACTGCTACTACTGGAATGGCCCTGCATGAGAGGATGCAAAATGTGCCTTACATTTCTAAATGGCATGACTCAGAAAAATTATGGAGCACTTGAAGACATATGGATAGTATACCGCATGCTGAAATCACTCTTTTAAAATCAGCTGTGGTTAAGCCAGGTGCTCAAGTTGTTAGCCCACAAAGACAGTTGTCATTCAGATGTTATTGGAATGTGACTCCTTTCTGTGCATAGCAATGAGACCTTGTTCCCTTGGGATAAAGTTGAAAGCATTTATTAAATCATGGTAATATGACTCAGGAAATATAGAAATTACAGTCTGATATTAATCACACATCTGCAAAACAAGTGCACGGACTATCTGGTGATGGATTATTGGAGAGCATTTTGTTGGCTTGGGGAAGTTAAATTTATTTTATCTATTTAAGATTGCAAGCTCCATCTATTATGTAATAATGATTGTTTGCTTGTCTTGTTATTTATAATGGGCTGGAGAAAAACCTCCCGACATCAAGAAATGACTCAGCATCAAGCAGCTGTATTCAACATTATGTTACAAAATATGGCCAAACAAAAAGGGGGAAATGAAGATTTGCTGGCTGATGTCAGGCCAGTAAAATGTCCTTGCCAGATGTTCCTTGAAAACAAGAGAATGTTTGCAGAGTTTTGCCAGAATACTGCCTTCACACTCCAACAAGTACTTCCTTGGCCAGGCATCAAGTTCTTCACATTTATCTTCTAGGGAAAAGTCCAATTAGTAACATATAAAAAGCTGCTCTTTGTCCAGTTTTTTAAAAGCAAACATTAGATTGGAATCTTACATACTATGTATTTTGTAATCAGAGCTGAAACAGTGTAATTGCACTCTGCTACCTGAACAAACTTGAGTCCTTTGCTGTTCCTCATTTCAGTGACTATAGTCTCCTCAATCCCAATCTTCTCACAAGAAGATCCAGATTTAAATCTACACAACTGCAGCCCCAATGCATGTTTTTTACAGAGATGCCCAAAATACATATTGATAAAGTGACAAGCTCTTTGACAATGGTGCTAGAGAAATTAAATATCACATGAAGAATAATGAAGCTGGATTCCTATCTTGCATCCAGCACAAAAATCAATTCCAGACAGACCAAAGACCTGAAACAATGAAATGTTAGAGGAAAACTTAATGAGTACAAAAGGAGATATGGATAGGGACTTTAGGATTAAGGGCCAACTGTTCAGAATATAAAGCGAACAATCAACAAAGAGGACATATGATTTAAACACTTTCCATATTGCACAAGAGACAGTTGATCTAGCGAAGAAACAGCCTACAAAATGGGAAAAATCTTTGCCAGCTTTGAATACAACAGAAGATTAACAGCTAAAATACATAAATGAAAACAACGAAAACAAAAACCAGTAGTCTAATGAAATGAACAAATAGTTCACAAAAGATGAAATACAAATGGCCAATATGGAAGAAAAAAGTCCAATCTCACTAGCAGTTGGAGAAATGTGAATCAAAACTACATTGAGATTTCATCTTACCCTAACCCAGTGGTCCTCAGCCTTCCTAATGCTGCAACCCTTTAATACAGTTTCTCATGTTGTGGTGACCCCCCACCATGAAATTACTTTCGTTACTACTTCATAACTGTAGTTTTGCAACTGTTATGAATCATATGTAAATATGTGATGTGTAGGGTATCTATGATATGTAGGCAAAGCCTGTGGGGAGCGTGACACAGGAGCTGGAAAACACTGCTTCAGTCAGAATGTCAGTCAGTCACTCAGGAAACAAGCAACAAGTCCTGGCTAGGACCTAGACACAGTGGAACCCAGCACAGTTCTGAGCATGTGAACGCTTCCAGATTCTATGGTAATCAGTGTGAATTGTTCTCCAAAAACTAGATCTACCAAGTGACCCAGCTGTACCACCCTTGATATTGTGCAAAATCAACTCACTATATAGCACATGACTGTTTTCTGCAGGTCTAGTCACACCAATCCAACTGTCCAATAGCAAAGAAGTGGATAAGGAAAGTGTGGTTTATATGCACAATGGAAATTTTTTCATCAATAAAGAAGAATAAAGTTATTTGTAACAAAAATGGATGCACCACCAGGAAAGCATATTAAGCCACCTGTGCCAGTGGCAGAAAGACAAATGTCAAGTGTCTTCTCTCATGGAGATATGGTGATCAGCAGAAAATAGCTAGAGAAAATTTTTGTGCCAGTCTCCCAGGACAGCTTTAAAGGTGTCAGTAAGAAAGGCTTAGAATCACTGAGTTTTGCCTGGACTACTCCTGTGCCCTTCTGTCACTTTTGAAGTCTGAAAGGCAAACGTGATATCCAGAGGCGAGACAGCCATGAGAAATGTATATGGCAGGAAGCAGTAGAGCAGAACGCTAGCACGCTAAGGCATACAGCCCAAGAACCGGTATCTTGGCAGTGTCGTTATTCCCAGGCGTGGATCCAGGGCTCCCACATCCACATTATCTCAATGTCAGGGAGTAAAAGACTTAACTTTCTTATGCCACGATGGCCAACCTTTCTATTTTTTTTTCAAACATATTTCTAACAGAGTTTGACACTCACAGGAGCTTCACAGAAGAGCTACTGTGCTTTGCCTACATTACAGCTGTCATGGGAATCAATCATATTATAGCTGCCTAGTATCTTTGTGTGTTTCAGAAACGAAATTTCAAAGACTACCTTTTCCTTTAGGTCCTCCTGAGTGAGTCAGCATTTTGGGTTTCCTTTTTTTGTTTTAAATGTATTCGTTTCTATGTTTCTATGTATAAGCATTTTGTCTGTGTGTGTACATATGCCATGTACATACGTGTGGTCCTCAATTGTCAGAAGAAAGCATCAGATGCCCTGGAACTAGAGTTACAGATAGTTGTGAGCCACCAAGTGGGTGCTGGGAACCAGATCCAGGACATCTGCAAGAACCAGAAACTGTTCCTAACCACTGAGCCACCTCTCTAGATCCTATTATAAAAATTCAAAACACTCGAGGAGAGTAAGAAATACAGAATGGAGCCAGGTGCAATGGCATACGCCCTTAATCTCAGTACTCAGGGGAGGCAGAGGTAGGTGGATCACTGTGAGTTCAAGGCTAGCCTCGTCTACAAAGTCCAGGACAGGACAGCCAAGGCTACACAGAGAAACTCTGACTTGAAAAACAAAAACAAAAAAGAAAGAAAAGAAACACAAAATGTAGACAAACATTCAACTTTAACTTTTTTTTAATTGAAAAAATAAATTTATTTTATAATCTGACCTGTCAGTCACTCTCTGTCCTGGCTGGTTTCATGTCAATTTGACACAGCTAAAGTTAATTGAAAGGAAGAAAACTCAATTGAGAAAAATCCCTCCAGAAGATCCACTGTGAGACATTTTCTTAATTAGTGATCAATGTAGGAGAGTCCAGCCCATTGTACATAACACCATCCCTGGGTTGGTGGTTAGGGGGGTAGAAGAGAGGTTGAGTAAGCCATGGGAAGCAAGCCAGTAAGAGTAAGCAGTACCCCTCCATGGCCTCTGCATCTGCTACTGGTTTCAGGTCCCTGCCCTGCTTGAGTCTGTCCTGACTTTCTTTGATGATGAACTGTAACTTGGAAGTGTAAGTTGAATAAGCCCTTTTTATTCTTCCCCAAGTTGTTTCTGTTAGCTAGTCATGCCTCTGACTCAAGCAGCAGGGAACCCTGCCGTATACTCCCTTTGTAAACATTATACTTTGCAGAAAAGTAGGCAGGATCCTGCCTGAGGAGCTTCAGCAGCCAGAGACTGCTTCAAGTTTTGCCTTTGGGCTCCTCCTACATCTTTCTGAGGTTTCCTCTCTTCAAATCCCCTGGGTATCAACCTCTGTGGTCCCTGAAAGAGGGGCTCAAATTTGAGGTTGGTGTGACCCACTCTTTGAAAGAGGCCAAAAAGCCAAGAAGAGAAGTAAAGAAGGACCAAGGCTTAGGCTTCTGAGCTCCTCAGTTCATCTGGGGTAAGAAAAACCTCACTTTGGAGCTGCAACAGATGGAAAAGGAGCTTGGCTGAGACTCCTGAGCTCCTCAGCTCAGCTGGGGATACCCTCTGTAACAACTCTGCTGAGGAAGCCTCCTCCCAGAGCTGCATGGTTCCCCGGCTCCCATGGCTCAGGATACTCTTCCCTTGGGACACTGTCCAACCCCAGAGCTGTGTGGCTCCCAGGCTTCAGAGTTGTGGGTTTCCTGAACACCTTCCCACCTG